GATTCTGTTTCATGTAAGTTCCATGTGTGGGTCGGGTGGGTGTAGAGGTGGTGTGACTGTTTCATCGGCTAGTTCTCTATGTGGTGGGGGTGTGGGTGTACGAGTGTGTGATCTTGTTGTTCAGGTAGTTCCTATGGTCGTGTGGTGTTGAGTGTGTGATCTGTTTCATGTAGCTCCCATCGTGTGTGTGTTGGACGTGTGGTGATCTCGGGTTTCATGTAGTTTTCCATCCTGTGTGTGGTTGAGGTGTTGTGGGATCTGTTTCATCGTAGCTTGCCCCCCCCCGCCCCGCCCGCTCCATGTGTGTTGTGTTGAGTGTGTGATCTTTTCATTGTAGTTCCATGTGTGGTGTTGTAGAGTGTGGATCTGTTTTTTCATGTAGCTTCCATTGTGTTGGTGTGTGTGTAGAGTGTGGTGCATCTGTTTCATGTAGCTCTCATGTGTGTGTGTTGAGTTGTGTGATCTGTTTCATTTTGTAGTTCATGTGTGGTGTGTGTAGAGTGTCGCTGGATCTGTTTCAGTAGCTCCATGTGTGTGTGGTGTAGAGTGTGTGATCTTGTTTCAATGTAGCTCCATGTGTGTGTGTGTCAGAGTGTGTGATCTGTTTTCATGTTTAGCTCCATCGTCGTTGTGTGTAGAGTGTGGATCTGTTTTCATGTAGCTCCATGTGTGTGTTGTAGAGTGTGTGATTCTGTTTCAGTTAGCTCCATGTGTGTGTGGTGGGTTGTAGGAGTGTGGTGATCTGTTTCATGTGAGCTCCATGTGTGTGTGGTGTGTAGAGTGGCTCGTGATCTGTTTCAATGTAGCTCCATTGTGTAGTGTGTGTAGAGTGTGTTGATCTGTTTCATGTAGCTCCATGTGTGGTGTGTGGTTAGAGGGTGGTGGATCTGTTTCATCGTAGTCTCCATCGGTGTGTCGCGGTAGTCCCTATTTCTGAAAGATCCCTAGAAATTAAAAAACCTCTTTTCGTTGTAGAGGAAGTTAACTGGGGATAATGGGAATATGAAAGGAATTTTTTTTTTCCCCGGGAAAAATACGAAAAACCCGGTTCTTATTCTCGCGAAATTCGAAACAAAGGACTGGGTTTTAGGGGACTTAGTGTACCTTAATGACCTCTCTCTCTCTCTCTCTCTCTTCTCTTCTCTCTCTCTCTCTCTCTCTACTGACTCCCGCCACAGCATCGTGCCGTGCTCAAGGGCGTAGAGAACCCCAATTAAAAGTCCATAGTAGAAAACAGCCCCCTCTAATGTACCTCCTCTCCCCCTCGGATTGCCTCGTGGATTGGTGTAGAGGTAGACTCCAATAAAACCCACACATTACAGACGCTCATATGCCACCAAGTAACAGACGTGTGTAATTGTCACGAACAACCGTCATACCCCAGAAACACAAGCTTTTATGGGGTTCCCCTCCATAATGCTTCATTAAGTACACAAGTACCCTTAAACAGTCCTTGTTAATTTCCCGAGATAAGACGTTTTTCGTATTTTCCGAGAGTTGTGTGTGTGTACCTCGATGTACTTTGTCTAGTGTGCGAGTTGTGTGTGTGTACCTCGGCCACTTTGAGGAACTCTGACAGCTTTGTCATCCTGCAAAGGAATTTCTTGTAGATGTCCAGAGCATCTTTGCATTGGTTCTTCTTCATGTCAAAGTATTTCTCTGTAGAGACGGAAATAGAAGCGTTGAGGATAAAAACGGAGAATGAGAAATGAATACTTAACAAGGAATAGAACTTGCTAAACGAAGGGAGAGAGGTGTCAGGAACAGCTTGCGAAAACTTGTGTTGGGTTTATATTTACATATTCGCCAGACACGCGTGTGTGTTTTACCCAATAGGTTGATGACCCCTTCATTGTAAGCAGCAAACAGCCTTATGGAGTCTTTGAAGAGCAGCATGAAGGCCGAGTTGATCACTCCGTTGGTCAGCTCGTTAGGATTGGCCTGAGGGGGAAAAAGAGGGAGAAAAAGAGGTAAAGGAAACCTCTCTATAAAATACTTTAGACTTATTTTCCAAACACCATCCCCTCCCTTGCTATCGGGCATCTCGACACACTGTCAATTTATTTTAGGTGGGAAGAAACATCATTCGCAGACACGCGCCCACACACACGCATTCCAATGATAACTTTCAACCTCCTTTTGTAACGCTCTTTGAAGCTCGCTGGCACAAACTACAATGCACCCACCAATGTCTTCAAATCCCTCTCTCCCTTCAGTACGAACACAAATGCTAGAACTCAAAAAAAGGGTACCCTTTTTTTTTTACACTCCGTCAATAAAGAGAGGCTTCAAAACTTTGCTAACTGTTTCAATTTACATTTTGATTGGAAAAGCAAATCGAGCACTTTGACAAACACACACACACACACACACACACACACACACACACACACACACACACACACACACACACACACACACACACACACACACACACACACACACACACACACACACAGTACCTGGAAATCCAGCAAAGCGTCGAGCTGGTTCTGGATGATGGGCAGCGTCTTGATCAGCTTCTCTGTGTTCATGGTACGCATCACACCGTCGATCCTGACACAACAGGAAACAAAAACAAACAATTGTAGCGGGTAGACTTGTTTACGGAAATTAATATGCAAATTTGGATGCAAATTAAGACAGAAAGTGGTGAGAAACGAGGGGAGAAAAAGTGTTTTGCATATAAAAAGTTTGCTCAGTTATGCACATGAACTTAAGATACGTTTTTTTTCCAATTCAAGCGTCCCGTAAAATGCCAAAACGTCACAAAATCCGTCGAACACTGCCCATTGGGTTATGAAATATGGCCATTTTCTTGTTTTAACTTGACATGTTGAACTCTGAATGTGTACCAAATGCATTAAGAGTCCTCAATAACCTCCAAAACCATTATAAGTTTGTCTAAAGAGGCCAAGCCGTGGTTTAAAACTCTCCATTTGGGTAATTACGCAAATCAATGCAACTTTATCTAATTATGGCAATTTCCCAGCATTATGCAATTTAGCATCCAGCAGTGTCTTGAAGCTTAGGACCCATTCTATACATTCTATACATTCATAACACTGTGAATACTCAACATTT